GTTGGATTTCCTATAAAATTATAAGGGAGATAAGCATAATTTTCCCTCTGGAAAATGTCACTGGATCATAGTATTCTTTGGTCCAGTTTCCGTCAAGACTGTGATGAAGGAAAACTGAGAGAACCTTTTTACCCCAAGGTAAAGACTTTTGATATCTTCCTGCACTCCACTGGAATCTGAACGATGTATTTCAGAATACAGAAGGAAGCAGTTAAGAAAGGCTCATTGAGGTATATGAAGTACATTTAAACAGTCAAAAGTATCCTCCCAAAATCATGACAGAAAAAGTGATAGGAAAACTTCTTCTAGGGAGTTCTTTTTTACCCTTTTGAGCTTTCAGGATTTACTGAAATTACGTTTTCAAAGTTTTTTCAACAATGGCAAGGAAGATAAGTGTTCTTTAGAATGGTACCTGTTAGTCACATACACTCTAAAAGAGCTGCCGATCAAAGGATCAAATATTGCAAGGCTTGAAATAAAGTAGTCAGATTCCGCAATGTTGAAGGAGAAAAGGAGCACTTTTGTAATTCCTCACATATAAAGCTTTATTTCCCATCTGATAAAACTACAGATTGAAAAAAGACCTATGTGGAAGAGGCAAAAGAATTCCAATAGATCTTTTGTCTCTTTGAAAGGTATTTTTCAGGGGGTGGGGGGAAAAAAAGCTCTCAGCACCAACAGTTCCAAGACCACAAACAAGAGGAAATCTAGGTGAGGTTTAAATGCTGGAGATTTTCCAGGTCGAGAGAAGTTCTGATGGTCAAAATGTAAGTAGCCACTAAAGTGAAGCTGTAAGAAAATGGCAAAGAATCTCCTTTTTCTTAAGAATTCCACAGCAATGAACGAGGATATGAGAGAGAAAACAAGGATAAATCCCTGAATAATACTGACTTGTTCCAAATACCATGATTTCAACAGCACAGAGGACATAGTTGCATAGTCTTAGGGGAAAAAAAATTACTTGTTTGCCTCAGATGATCCCAAGAGGAACTGTTAGAATTCACTACTGTTAGCTGTTCTGTCATTCTGTCCAATTAATATCTACAAGGAACAGAGTTTTGGGATGATGGACCTGGCAAAATGTCCTGAAGCTCTAAGAAGACTTTACCTTCAGGATTTGTTTCTAAAATGTAGGGATTGTAGCGAGATCCAGACAATAGGATTACGGAGAGATAATAATTTTATTTTCTTTTATTGCCAAGTACTATGAGATTCTTTCACTCTATCCAAAGGATTTCTTACCCTGAGTCACAAGATCACTTGACATTTTTCATACTGAATGTCTTTACAAGCAGGCAACTCATCTTAGTTCGTTCAGATTTGGTGGTATTAAGTTCCCACGTTGTCTTATTTGTCACACTAATCCTACTTATTTAGGAATGGTCCTCCCAGAAACATCACAAACTTTTACCAGAGAATAAAAGACCCTTTTCAGAAACAGACTTAACCACTGGATAAAATGCCATGTCTTAATACTATTCTAGGGCCCACAGATAAAAAAAAATGCAATAAATTGCTCAAAGCATTAAAGTGAATCATGTCCACTCTAACAATAGTAATGTAACTCTTTCTAAACTATTTAGAACTAGATGTAACGTGAGAAAAAAAGAGTTTCTGAGTACAGAAATATTAAGTGCCGGTAGATGTTTTAATTACAAGTAATTTCACCCTGTATATTTTAAAACTAAGGAGTTGTTACACAAATGTTGCTAGGCATCAAGGTCCCTGGTAGGGAAGAAAGAGGCTTTCAGAGGGCTATTCACACTTCATGTTGGCTCCCATCTCTTACTCCCTTGCGATAGTACTACTGGCACCACTCATGTTTCTAGTGCAATGTTACAACTGCTTTTCATGCTCTAAAGGAGCTGCACTGTTGTTCTGGGATTGGAAGTGAACTGTTATTATTTGTGAGAGATTTTGTTAATGTTAGAATCATTTATGACCTTTAGTTATGATTATATTCTGGTGAAAATATATAAAATTATATGATTTCACTGTTAGGAGAAATAATTGCTAGGTCCAAAAAGCAGAATGGCAAAGGCTTGGTATACTGTCCTTCAGTGGCTAAATAAGGGGTTTATATTATTAATTGCTTTCATATTACCTCATGAACTCACTCCCTTTGGTAATCCCTACATGGACAATCTGATCCTCGCACTATCACTGCAATAGTTCGGGGTTTTACAGGAAGAAGTTCTAAGTGATTAAAATGTTCAAGGTTTGCCTTAGGAAAACTTCTACCATCAGCAGGTTTCAAAGACAACAGCTTTACACCCAGCTTAGATGCAGAAGTACAAACTAGTGACTTGTAGAGTTGAAGTTAACACTGATAAGTAAAAATGATCCTGTTAGGAAGAATTCTGGAAAAATTTAGAGTAGAACAAGGAGAACAATGGACACCAATAAAATATGTACACTGGAATGAATAGAAGATGTTATATTGGTGATATGTAATCTTTGGGGTATTTCTTTTGGTGAAAAGTAAAACATGACCAATAATTAAAATGCAAGTTACATATAATTTACTTGATAAGAAAGTGGGTGGTATACTACATATGGTATATACATCAGTTGTTGGGAAAATAAATTAATATGTGCAAGTTTTCAAAGATGTCATATAAATATGTCAGTACCTTTAGGCAAACTGCTTTTCAAAATAATGACAACAAAACACTTCAAAAAGTGCAGACATTAACAGTTCACAAATGACCAAAAAATATTAATATTGTTTATGCAAAGCTATAGGGAAGCATAACTGAAGGCAGCTGGAATAAGTCTTGGTCATACCACCAGTAACTCAAGCACTTGTCTTGAAATATGTGCTGCACAGAAAAACCCGTATGTCTGCATACATTTTTCATTGAAACAAAGAGAGATTCCAGTGGGAGTATAGGTATTCACTCACTGTAAATCCTGCTGA